TATTCTTTTTTTTTTTTTTTGCACCTCTTTGATTCTCATTATTTCAAAACTCATTTTTTCTTAAATTGATTTCAATCATACATTCTCACAATAAAATATTTTACATGTAAACTCAATTTTTTTTACTAATTTTTAACCACACATTCTTTGAAGATTCATTATTACAAAACTTATTTTGATGAAATAATGGGCATTAGCCTTTTTGTTCTAGAATATGGGAAAGAAAGTCATGTTACGTTACTTTAACACAACTTTATTGATGGATTCGTAAGTGAGATCTATTTGTGTTGATTAATGAGAGATTGATTGTGCGAAAAAGTTAGGAAAAAGTGAAATTTCGAGCAAAGTTGGGGACTAAATATGCAATTATCCAGGGAAAATTTGTCTTTTCAAACACACAACCAATAATATTAAAGGGGAATGGTAGATAGGTACAACTAAGCAAATCTATGAAAGGCTGGGGTTGACAATGTCAAGAAATTAAAGTTAGAGAAAGAAGTGCAAAATGGTGTAAAAATTTGGGTCAATAGCCACAATTTACCCATTATGTATAATTCCATTTTATGAAAAAAATTCTCATGTTGTGATCTTAGAGATTCATTTTCAAACGAACAATATGCCTCTAAATGCCTTGAACTTACGGGCACGTTAACATCGCAAAGTGAGGAAGTCAGGAAGCTGGGCCCGTTCACAGGAAGGACTAGCATCTAGACTGTCAATTGGTGGTGGTGATTCACCAGCAGAGTCGCGGACGGACGGAAATCGAAATCGCCTGGCAGGAACCAATTTTGGTTTAATTAAATTGGGGTAAAATGGGATGGGCTAGACCTACATATAATTAAAGATTGAGCCGCCAAATAAATGGCCCAACTAAATTACAAAATTGAAAAAAAGGCCGACCATTTTCAGATGGCCCAATTAAAAAATAAAAATAAGGATGGGATGGGCGGCTCGGCCGCAAGTGCAACGGCCCAATTCAAAACAAAACCGAAAAATAAAAAAAGAAAAAGTGAAGAGAAGAAGACTAACCTGAGGCAGCTCCAGAAAATCGGGCCCCTTGGTGTGTCTCCGTCTTCCTCCTAAAGGTCAGAACTGTTCTGGCGTAGCCCAACACTGGCGGCCGCGCCCCGTGGTTGGGTGCTAGGTCCGCCATTGTCCTCGCCCATGCCTCCCCAACTTAGCTACCATCTCCACAAACAAACCTAAATCTACAATCGAATTTCCAAACCCAAATCTTCTGGTATTATGTTTCCTAGCAGATCTAGAAATTCTACCCCACCATCACCGCCCAAGCCCCAATTCCCTATCATTAATTCCTTGGGTCAGTTGGAACCATACACCAACACAAATTTCTGTTAAATCCTAAAGATTCCACTCAAATTTTCTATTTGATTTTTCACATCAAAATTCGTATAAGATTTGAGTTGAGGGTATTGAACCGGAACTTGCAAGAAGTTTGGAAAGTGACATCAAGAAAGTGGAGTTGCATAAGCCATTTTCGAGCTACGTATTCATACTTGTTTTAGAATATGGAAATGTATATATAGATGTATGTTATACTTCAAACCAAGTATTGTCTTTAAAGTGCATGTAATATACAAACTAAATCCATCTTTTTTAATCAACAATTTGACGTGCAATTTTTAAAGAAGAATAGACAAAATTTCTTTTATGTCTTCAAAATTTTAATCATGAAAAATTCTATTTAGAACCTAGCATTCATAAATACTATCATAATCATATTTGAAACTAACCATGGTGACATGATATTACGTACGACATAACTATTGTATTTCTGCTTGTTTCACTAGGCATAAAACTCGGTTGCACATCGCTTGCCCATAGCTTGTAATTTTCATCCACTTCTTTTACCACGAAAGGGAACTAAACTATGGTGGTCAACAAGCCACATATAATAATACGAATAATACTATTTGTATATAATGGAGTTACATAATGATTTACATATAAATAATGTGTCAAATAAAGATTGAAGTTTTTTTTAAAAAAAAATTGGTTAAAGAAATTCTGATCTAATCATATATTACTGCATCATTGGTATGTAAATAGTCTGAAAACTATTATGTACATGCAGTATAACCGTAATAATATTTGGATATGCTTAAGAATAAGCTAAATTTACTATTTTATTTTTTTAACTAACCAACTTATTTTTTCAAAAGTAAGTTTAATTTGAAAAAATATTTTTTAAATACAACAATAAATTCAGTAAAAATTTGTTAAGAAAATACATTCGGCTTGGGGTGGGAGGATTGAAGAAGACACTTTTTAATATTAACTTTTTATTATTTATTATTATTATTATTTTTTTGCACCTCTTTGATTCTCATTATTTCAAAACTCATTTTTTTCTCAAATTGATTTCAATCATACATTCTCACAATAAAGCATTTTACATGTAAACTCAATTTTTTTAACTACTTTTTAACCACACATTCTCTGAAAATTCATTATTACAAAACTTATTTTGATGAAATAATGGGCATCAAACAGGGCTTGATGTCCTCTTCTTTTGTGCTTCTTGGATTTGCCTTTTTGTTCGTTCAAAAATATGGGCAAGAAGTTGGGGACTAAATATGCAATTATCCTCAATCTTTTGTTTGTTTTAAAATCAAGGGCAAATTTGTCTTTTCAAACACTCAACTAATAATAATATTAAAGGGGAATGGTAGATAGGGACAACTAAGCTAATCTATGAAAGGCTGGGGTTGACCATGTCAAGAAATTAAAGTTAGAGATAGAAGTGCAAAATGGGGTAAAAATTTGGGTCAATAGCCACAATTTACCCATTATGTATAATTCCATTTTATGAAAATAATTTGTGCTCATTTTAACATTTTGTTTCTTCCATATTGTGTGTCACTTTTGATTACTTGCTGCTATTAACATAAAAAGGGAAAAATTGGCATAGACAATTGCAGAATGAGTTGAGATATGTTGTTTTTTCTTTATTTGTTGACATTTCGGCGCATCACTTCTTGTTAGTAAATAGAAGATGCCATTTCAAAGGTGATATTGTTTGTAGTATACTATTTTGACGTCCTTCTACTTGCTAACAACGAGTGATATTCAAGCTATTAAATATTTAGTGGACAAACAACTAACGAGACAACAAATGATAGAGCAAACATGCCCCGAATGAACAAAATACACAAAATTACAAGGTAGTAAAAAACAAAAAAAAGATCGAAATTTATACTAGGTAATGGTCTCCCACGGTCGTTGACTAACGTAATGACATAACTGAATGAGTTTTAAAAGTCAACAAAGTAAATGAAACAACTTGAAATTTAGTGGTGTAAGTGGCATTATTTCAATGACAATTGGTGTAATTAACTATAATCCCACGTAACAGACTGCGTTAGCGTACTAACGAGATGTTAACGTGCCATGTCGATTTTTCTATTAAAAATGACTGGCCAAGGTCGTCTAACAAAAATGGATTTAAAATTCGGTAAGATAAAGGAAATTTATATAAAGTTTAATAGTACAAAAGGGTGTTCGGTAGAGATTAAAATCGGATTAAAATTGAAAAACTATCCGTTATTGTTGACTTTTATTAGATGAGTGGAATCCAATAACGACTATATTTTCAATTTTTTAATTTTCCACCGTTCTAAACTTATTTCGAATCTCCCAATACTACAACAAGCAACTAATTATCTAGAGCTTGTTTGTGATGGATTAAAATTGAAAAACTAGTCGTTATTGTTGACTTTTATTAGATGAGTGGAATCCAATAACGACTATATTTTCAATTTTAATTGGATTTTAAGCCGTACCAAACAGGCCCCAAGTAACACTGATTGTGAAGTTGGATGACAATAAGTATAATTAACTCTTAACAAGTAGACATATGTATAGGGGTGTCAACGAGCAGAAATTTTTTGCTCGGACTCGACTCGAGTAAAAATAGTTCACGCTCCAAAAAATTTAGGCTCGAGCTGAGCCGGCTCGAAATTGTTTATTTTTTAAATTCGTGATAAATCTAATTTTTTTTATATAGAATTAAAATTTATACAATTTATACATATTATAAATAATAACTAAATATTAACATATAAAAAAATTACAGTTAAAATGAAAATAAAAAATTTGAAAAAAGAAGTAGCATGCAATTTTTTTTTTTTTTTTAAATTTTTTAGGCTCATGTGTTTGCCCGTGTGGTTTGCCGAGCCGGCGTCCCCAAAATGAGGCTCGGCCGAAGCCTCGGCTCGGTCCCATCGAGCCACAAGCTGTCCCGACTTTGAGTTTTTTTTGGGCCGACCCGAACCATCCGAGCCATTTTGTCATCTCTATGTACATACCATTAGAAAATATTGACTTTGGACTATGCCCTTCCACCCGGCCCCACAAATTCTATGTATTCGCATATTCCTTTTAGGGCCTAGTAATATACAAATACGACCTTTCATGGAAATGATTGATCACACAGACTGAAGATTATATTAATGCAGAATTCAAATTTCCATGAAAGGTCGTATTTGTATTTAAATCCAGTTTCACACTGACTGAAGATTATATTTATGCAGAATTCAAATTATTTTTATCTTAAGATTATAGTAAGAAAAATAAAAAATAATTCATAAAAGCCTATTTTTGTATGAAACTTGATTAAATAAAATCTTGTTTTTGATGAGATTAGTATTTGATAAATTAGGTGTAAGTGTAATTTTATTAGGGAACAAATGCCAAAATTTAATTCCATTTAAAAAAAGGAATAAAATGATTATTCTAAGGTTAATACAGTCGTCAGGAAAAGACGAATATAATAATATCTGTTTGTATTGTTCATAAAAGTCAAAGTCGGAGAAAATCACAACTTTTTTCATTGATTTAACGTTTTTCATCATTTTAATTGTTTCTTAAACCAAAAAATATTCAAAAGCCAAAAGCATTGGTCAACTCGCAGCCGTTTTAGAACGTAGATTACAAGATTTCGTCTTCAACGCTCGAGTCTTTCTCTCGCCGTGAAAAAAATGGCATCAAATCTTACAATAAGAACCGGAGAAGGGAATTCCGATGAGGGTTTTAGTTCAAGAGTTCATTATCAAGATAAGTGGGGGAATTTCAGCAGTGGTGGAATAAGTTCTGAGATTCAAGAAGAGTTTTCAAACGAGTTCTTTGAGATTAACAATGGAGTTCCTTCGAATACGATAAATGAAGAAGTTGAAGGAAGTGTATTTTCGTTTGATTTTCACAACAGGGATGATGTTGTTTATGTTGCAGTAGGGACGAGCGAAGAACCAAGCATGGATGCACTTAAGTGGACTCTGAATAATGCTGTGAATCCTTCTTCAACTCTTGTTTTTCTGATTCATGTCTTTCCTGAGACAAAATACATCCCTACACCATGTAAGTTCTCTCTCTCAAGATACACGTACCCTAGTGAGAAGTTTGAGTTAGGTTGTGCCGGCCGTCGCAGCCCGGATTTTAGGTTCACCAATCACAACCTTTCTTTGGCATCCGGGGCCTAACCAAAGTTGACTTTTTCGGCTATTTAGGATCTGGGTGGTAGGGTGCGGCCAACGCATTTTGATCCCTCTAACCTGTCGTACATGCACACGAACAAAAGAGAAAAAAATGTGTTCTACAGTTCAGGCAGTGGATTGCTTGGTCAGGTTTGCAGCCACTGGATGCTGTAGGTTGGCTCAAACCAATTACCTTTTCAATCATCAACTAAGATTTCAATGTTTATCACAGTTAAAATTTTGTGATGCAGCTGTATCTGACAAAAAACATGAGTGTTTATGTAACAGGTTATTTAGGTAGACAACTTACATATGAACAATCAATATAGTAATACAGACAATCTATGTAGGCTTAAAACCTATGCTGGCTCATTGAGTCTTGTAAGAAGATATATGAACTTATTCACAAGTCAGAAATTTATGGTAGGCTTTGTTTATAGCTTGTCTATACCTTATCATGTTAATTACAAGTCGATTTCTGCTGCGTTTGTTGGTATCAACTCAAACAAGCTAACCTGGAAACGGGGGTGGGGGGGAATGTTAGAATCTAAAACGGAATTGCTACTAAGCAAACTATATGTATATCCTTTGTGTGACAGTGGGAAAGCTTCCAATTAGTCAAGTGAACCCGGAGCAGAAGGAGAACCACATGGCTCAAGAAAGAGGAAAGAGAAGAGAATTCCTTCAAAAGTTTCTTGACGTCTGTATAGCTTCCCAGGTATCAGAGACTCTAATTATTTACTTGTACCAAATGTCTAACAACACATTACAAACAGTATATGGCAAGTTATAAATAAGCGTGTCCAAGTTTATAACGAATCCACACAGTAAATCCACACAATAATTTACATTGTGCAAGTAAAGTATTGAATGTTGAAAACATTACTCGTAAGTGACATCAATGGTTGACACGTACAGTTACGTGTTCAAAATCATGAGCTAACAATGTGCTTTTATTTTAAAAGGTGAAGGTGGATACCATACTTATTGAAAGTGACATGGAGACAAAAGCAATACTGGACCTCATTCCCATCCTCAACATCAGAAAGTTGGTTCTGTGCACCACTAAGTCTAATCTAAGGTACAACGTCACTTGGCTCAACCATTAATTTTTGAAACTTTCTTCTCTTTTATCGATTATTTTACATTGATTATTGTATGAGAGTGTTTTAGGAAAATGAGGTCTAAGAAAGCTAGTGGTGGAGCTGATGAGATACTACAGGATGCACCAGAATACTGTGAGATTAAGATCATATGTGGAGGAAATGAAATAACTGACCTGAAGTTTGAGTCCCCTTCTGCTTCTCCCTCTCCCTCTCCAAGGGCTGCCGACCGAAGTCCCAAATCTGTGCAAGAGCAAGAACAAATCAATAATGACTCCTTCTCATGTGGGTGCTTCAGGCCTAAGACTAGATTCTGAATGCTAAAAGAATCGAATTGGAATAGCTCAGTATGGGAGATCTTAAGGTGGCTTCATTTTTAATGTTTTGCAATTAACCACATTGTATAAAAAGTATTAAAAGTACAAGCAGCAAGTGTACTGTATCCAAAGATAAAACAGATTTCTTTTCTTTTTTTTACCAAAAAAATTCTTTTCTTCTTTCAACTTTTCAATCTTCCTTTCGTTTTAACAAAAGCCCACTTGCTAAATCACAAGATTGCATAACAATTGAAAAGAAACAAAGCTACGGAGTATGACATATTCACCGAAGATCAAGCCTTATAGTGCTCATCAGGCTTCAAGAAGCAGACCAGACTTTTCATTCCCTTGCGTTTATCCTCAATTTACTCTTGAATTGTACTATATACAGAATAGTAAATCAAACTCTTAAAGGTACTATCGCATCTACATTTGTGGCTTACAGAAAATTTTGCATAGTGTCTGGTACCAATGTCAGCACATACTATCTACATTTGGTCCTACATTGCCTGGAATTCAAGAAAATTTTCCCAGAAGTATACATTAAACATTATACAAAGTGCACTTCTATCGTTAAAGTTCATCCTGTGTTCAAATGCAATCCATCCCAGTCCTCTCAAATTAAAGCTTCCCCGCGATGTGTGAATCTGGAAGACTGGAACCATGCAAGTTGAGGGAGGTAATGATCAATTGGCATTCATAATCTATGATAGGCAGCAACAAGCAGATATTCAATAAATCAATCTGGAATTACATATAAATCTCACGAACCATATCATTAACATCCTGTATTGGCCATAACATTTGTTCTGCATAACTTGACACAAATTCCAAACAATACCTTTATTAACTAGAAGAAATCAAACTCCAGATATCTTTCACTTTTTTGATCAGGAACTTTTGTGGGATGGGCTGTTTTTTCCATTTACAGAGGATGCTGGAATGGTTATTCTCTCATATTCAACATGCTCGGGGATTTCAGGAGGGATGGCACAACGTATCAACGCCCAATTAACTCCTTCAAAGAAAGGGTGTTGCTTAGTCTCAGTTGCGCCTCTTTTATAAGCTACCTGTGGTGTGGTCCTTTCACTAGCAAACCCCTGATCAAATCCCTAGCGGCAAAACTGACAATGGGAGATTCTGGAAAACGAAGAGGCTGTCCAACAACAATGAATAATGTGGCTCGATTCAGGGGCGGAGGCCCCCCAATTTTTTGACAATTTTTTTTTTGTATTTACCATTTTATCCTCACCTTTCATGAGATTTCATAATGTGCATTTTTCTTAGAGTACTGAGATTTCAGGTTCTCTAAGTGTTGGGATGTCTGTGTGAGAGACCTTTTATTGTAGGAAAATACAATACTTTAAACCCGCTTACAGATATTAACTGAATGCTAAAATTTTGGATTTTTTCAGCTATAAAAATTAAAATGCATTATGCATATATGCCTAAGTCTTAAATTCTAATTTTGAAGTTTGAACCAGTAGAATTGTAAGCGCCCAGAAAATAATTGTCGATCACCGACATATCTCCATGAAGGCATTACCATCTTTTAAGTCTTCAACTAATGTACACTAATTTATGTTACTTTGTTTCCTTTCTTCATCACAAAGTATCAACTTCCCTCATTTTAACATATAATGTTTCAAAAAAAAATTTCGAGGGCTCCCCTACTTCAATAGGCTGGCTCCACCCCTGGTTCGATTACTAGATCCTTTAAATGGAGTTTTGCCAAACATAAGTACATAAAGAAAGATCCCAAAAGTACACCAGTCAACTGCACTTCCATGACTTTCACCTTCGATAATTTCAGGTGCTAGATATTCAGGAGTTCCGACAAATAACATTACCGTGCATTGGTTGGTTCAACAATCAGCTCGGACAATGGGGTAACTTGTTTTCCAATTTCATTTTTGGGTTCTTGGATTTGCTAGAAAAGAGACGGGGAGAGAAGCATGTTGTTGGTGTAACACATGATGGCTGAATGCAGGCAGGTTCAATGCAAGCTGGTTGGACGCAATACAGAGAATTTTTACTCAAGGGTTCCGACTCCAAGGATGGAGTCTTGACCATAGTTGGACTGACAGCGCAACGAAGTGAAAGATCAAAATCTGAGAGCATTACATTTCCATCATCCCTCACGAGGACATTCTCAGGCTTAAGGTCGCTATAGACAATCCCAAGCACGTGTATATATTCCAGAGTAAGCAGGCAGGACTTCCGTAACATAAAATCTGCCACAAGGGAAATTAATAAGTATCAGAGTATTAACTGCGCGACAGACGTTTTTAACATAAAAATACATGTCCATTGCATGAAAAGGTACAGCTGATTAGATAGATCAAAAGATGATATCATCAAGAATCAACTTTCAAATTACAAGTCTCAGAGAATTATTCTGATGCAGACGCTGAACCTACTGCAAGTTAATAAGATTACCATAAATATGATGTTATAAAACTAATTGCAAGATATGGCAAATAATGAAGAAATAAAGAAGCAAACAAGAACACAAGAATTTACGTGAAAATCCAATTCGGGAAAAAAAATCACGGGCAGAGGAGAACAGTCCACTATAATCAATAATTTTGTGTTTACAATTCAAGATTTCAATAAACTAAATTGAAACCTAAGCAATCTCTCTCTAAATATGTTGTTGAATCTCAAGAAAATAATCTAGGAATGTTATATGATGATCTTAGATGCTAATACAATGTGATTATATATATAAACCCCCTTATTAGAGTCCTAGATGGAGAAGAGGTCCAAAAATCCGGATAGCACACGAAAAACGGAGAAAAACGCTGAATTATTTCTAATCGGGGCGCCTAAGCGCCACTCAGCAGTGCCTAGGCGCCATGGCTAGCGCCGGGCGCTTCAAACCCAATGCCTAGGCGTTAGTCTTCTGTCCAAAATTCTGCTGCTTCAATTTTCCCGGTGCCTAGGCCCTAGGTCTCAGGTAAACTTTGCCAAACCATGGTTTTTCCATCCAAGAATCATTTTCCAAGCCAAACTCCTAAATACCAATGAAATTTGATCTTCACAAGTTAGGATTCTTCACACCCAAGTGCCTTAGACTTCCTCCAATTATTCAAATCCCAAATCACATGGAATTCCAACAAACCAAATATCCAAATCATATGGAATTTGGATCAAACCACAACAAATCTCCACCTTGAGCCAAATTCCATCACAAGGAATTAAAACATTTTATCAAGTAAACACCAATTCTCCTATTCCAAACAAGCCCCAATGGACTAAATCAATAACAAACACCAATTAAGTTTAACCAATGCTCAAACTGAGAATTGGGAAGTGGTTTTGTCATCATATCAGCCGGATTATCTTTGGTATCAACCTTGCTCACTATTACCAGAACAATCACTTCACGCACAAAATGATACCTCACATCAATGTGCTTAGTTCTCTCGTGAAACATCTGATCCTTAGTCAAGAAAATAGCACTCTGACTATTACAGAAAACTATAGACAATTGCAAGCCTTCACTGATTTCACCAATCAATCATCTTAATCACATAGCCTCCTTACATGCCTCTGTAATGGCCATGTATTTTGCCTCTGTTGTAGATAAAGCTACTATATTTTACAAAGTAGCTTTTTAACTGATAGCACAGCCCCCAATGGTAAATACATACCCTGTAAGTGATCTCCTTTTATCAAGATCCCCTGCATAATCTGAATCCACATAACCGTTGACACCATCTGAATTTCTACCAAATTGCAAACAGGCATTTGTAGAGCACCTCAAGTAGCTGAAGATCCATTACATAGCTTTCCAATGTTCCTTGCCAGGGTTAGCCATGTATCTACTAACCGCACTAACTCCTTGTGCCAAATCAGGTCTTGTACAAACCATAGCATACATGAGCGAACCAACTGCACTGGAGTAAGGAACCTTGGACATATAATTAATGTCTTCATCTAACTGAGGACACAAGTTAGATGATAGTTTGAAGTGGGCAGCCAAGGGAGTACTAACAGCTTTAACTTTCACCATGTTGAATCTGTCAAGCACTTTCTCAATGTACCCATTCTGACTCAAATACAATCAGCCAGCCTTTCTATTCCTCAAGATCTCCATTCCAAGAATCTTCTTTGCTGCACCTAAATCTTTCATGTCAAACTCCTTGCTGAGTTGTTATTTTACCTTTCTAACCTCTGCTTTATCCTTAACTGCTATAAGCATATCATCAACATATAATAGCAAATATGTAGTTGATCCATCAACTTTCTTTCTGAAGTACACACAACTATCATAATTATTTCTATCAAAACCATGAGTAGTCATTTTGATCCACCAACTTCCTTTTTGAAGTACACACAATTATCATAATAACTTCTATCAAAACCATGAGTAGTCATAAATGAATCAAACCTTTTATACAACTACCTCGGTGACTGCTTCAATCCGTACAAGGACTTCTTTAATAAGCACACATAGTCTTCTTTCTCTGAAGTTATGAACCCTTCTGGTTGTTGCATGTAGATGCTCTCTTCAAGTTCTCCATATAAGAACGTTGTCTTGACATTCATTTGCTCAAGCTCCAAGTTATTCTGAGCCACTACTCCAAGTAACGCCCGAATAGAACTATGCTTCACAACTGGTGAGAACACATTTGTAAAGTCAACACCTGAAATCCGACTGTAACCCTTTGCCACCAATCTAGCCTTGTATCTAGTACCTTCAATTCCTGATGTGCCTTCTTTTCTTTTGAACACCCACTTACAACGAACCATCATTTTACCTTTAGGTAATTTCACCAAGGCCTAAGTGTTATTTTTGTTTAAGGACTCCATCTCCTCCTGCATAGCAATCATCCATTTGCTAGAATCACTGCAACTGATTGCTTCTGAATATGTAGCAGGCTCCTCTGTGGAATCAATTTCTTTAGCAACACTTAATGCATAAGCAGCCAAATCTGCTTCCCCATACTTCTGTGGAGGTCTAATCTATCTGTGAGGTCTATCCTTAGCAATAGAATATTGTGGTGTTGGTGGTGTAGGCAAGTCATTACTTTCTGTCAACAATGAACTGGACTCATCTGTAGTAGACTGTTCTTCATCCTCTGATTGCTCATTTGAACCAATCCCAAGCTCGACCTGAGTTAAACGACTCTGCTCTTTAGTTTTATTAGAATCTCCAAGAGGTGAACCACGAACCATAGCAAGTTCACCAAATACTACATTCCTACTAATAACCACCTTTTTATTCTCAGAACACCACAAATTATACCCGTTCACACCTAATTTATACCCAAGAAAGATACAATTTCTAAACCTAGGCTCCAACTTCCCATTATCCACATGAGCATAAGCCGAACGCCCAAATATTTTCAAATCAGAATAACAAGAAGGTTTACCAGACCATACCTCTTCTGGTGTCCTTTTATCAATGGCAATTGAGGGTGAGTGATTAATCAGAAAACAAGCTGTAGTAGTAGCAGCTTCAGCCCAAAAAGACTTAGGTAATCCAGAATTTGAAAGCATACAATGAACCTTTTCCATCAAGGTTCTACTCATCCGTTCTGCCACACCATTTTGTTGAGGAGTTCCAGGCACTGTCAAGTGTCTCAAGATGCCTTCAGCCCTGCAGAAGCTATTGAATTCATCCGAACAAAATTCCAACCCATTATCAGTGTATAGACGTTTCACCTATTTTCCGATCAGTTTCTCTACCAATGTTTTCCAGTCCTTAAAGGTCTCAAACACATCTCTCTTCTGCGTTAAGGAGAATACCCAAAATCTCATTGAGAAGTCATCAATCACTATCAACAAGTAATAACAACCTCCTTTAGATGGTACCCTTGCTGGTCCCCAAAGGTCTGAATGGATATATTCAAGTATTCCCTTCGTATTGTGTATTCCTTTGGTGAATCTAACTCTCTTCTGTTTCTTAAAGACACAATGCTCACAAAATTCTAATTTGCTGGTCTTCTACCCATCAAGAAGTCCCATTTTACTCAATTATGCCATACCATTTTTACTCATATGCACGAGCCGCATATGTCAAAGTTTTGTAACTTCAACATTTGTCAAAGAAGAAGTAGAAATTGCTGCATCCCCAATCACTGTAGAACCGTGCAAAATATACAGTTGTATAGAGTTTTTATGTCCCTTCATGACAACAAAATCACCTTTGCTCAACTTTAAAACTCCACCTTCACCAATGTATCGGTAGCCCTTTGAGTCTAGTGTACTCAAAGATATGAGATTTCGCTTCCGTTCTGGAACATGTCTTACATCTGCAAGTGTTCTAACAGCCCCATCGAACTGAGTCTAGTGTACTCAAAGATATGAGATTTCGCTTCAGTGCTGGAACATGTCTTACATCTGCAAGTGTTCTAACAGCCCCATCGAACATTTTGATTCTGACTGTACCAACTCTGACAATTTTGCAAGGCGCGTTGTTTCCCATAATCACAGCACCTTTCCACACTTCTTCATATGTAGAAAACTAGTCTCTGTTAGGACACATATAAAAAGTATAGACCGAGTCAAGAACCCATTCATTACAAGATTTAGAATCTCCATCAGAGATCACAAGAAGCTCTCCACCACTTTGCTCATCTTCCACAATATCAGCCATTGCTGTATTAACAGGTTGCTTCCCTCTCTTAGTAGCACCTGCAGCTTTATTTTATTTTTCAAGGCGTAACAATTAGCTCTAATATGCCCATTCTTCTTACAATAGTGACTTGTCTTCTCAGCATGTTTAGACTTCGATCTGCCCCTCATATTTCTACCAAGACTCCTATCTTGTTGTCTCCCACGTACAACCAAGCATTCAACATGATTTCTAGATCCTCCAGCAAGGTGCCTCATCTTCTCCTTAGATAATAAAGTATCATAGACCTCTTCCACGGTGAGAGTATCACGGCTATAGAGAATAGTATCTCAAAAGTCATATATGATGGTGGCAGCGAACAAAACAAAATTAAAGCCAAGTCCTCCTTATCATACTTAACCTCCAATATCTCCAAATCAGCCACAATTTCTTTGAACGTAGTTAAGTGATCATCCAATGACGTACCTTCAGACATTCAGTGAGAATACAAGCGCTGTTTCAGGTGTAGCTTGCTGGTCAAACTCTTTGTCATGGAAAGTTGCTCCAACTTCAACCACATAGCAGTAATACTATTCTCCTTAAGAACATCCTGAAGAATCTGATTCAAGAGGTGTAGATGAATTTGAGTTTGGGCTTTCCGATC